TTTTTTGTTCCAATGGAGAAACGTTTTAGTGATGGGAGTAGGTGTCACAGGTGTATCCTCCGTGTTAAATTCAACTCTCAGTCATCTGTGCTCCTTAGGCCAGTTCCTTTCTCTTAAATGTGATTTTTGGTTGCAAATAGTGTAGGATTCAAGACTTTTATAGCAGAGCTTGACCCTTCTCATATGCTACCGCAGGGCTCATCACAGTAATAACCACTCGGTGTCAGGTGAGGCCTGGCACTTTGTGCAGCTGTTGGCCAGCGGTTTTCCTTCGAAATTTAGGGATTTCCGTATACAAAACTTGAACTCTTTTCATGCTCTTGTTTTTATCTGTTTATTTATCTATCTGTCTCATCAGGGACTGAGGAAGAGCACAGGCTTTCATCTCATTTTGGTAAATTTGCATCAGCTATTAGAACACTTAATACTTTAAATACACAGAACAATTTGCCTTCAGTGTCATAAACAAGGCTTCTCTTTTACTCTGGATTGCATTAAGCTTAAACTGCTTTAAAAAAAAAAAAAACTCACTTCTTGGACAGGTTAGGGTAGCGTTTCATTTTTCAGCTTTTAATTTCCAGGAGTTTTTGATACTGGTTAGGCATGTGACACTGCAAAAAAAAAAGATAATAGTGAGTTCTCCTAGGAAATTTTATATCCTCCAGTGCTTTGTCTTCAATGACTTGTTAAGTGTATAGAAATCTGTCTGTCTTAGTCCTGCGTTCACATTTCTCACTCTAAAACACTTGTGCGTTGCTGCAGAATGCTTTTATTAATTCTGTGCTCCAGACAGAGGAAGGAAATAGTATTTTAAGCCAAGCCTGACTTGCCACCTGCTCAGAAGCCTGTTTCTTCACAGTGCACCAATGTGCAGCTCCTGCGACCAATGGAAGTTCTCAGTAGCTCCAAATCTATTCTCAGATTCCAACCTTCACTTTCCCAGGTTTCAAACCATGAATCATTTGGGCTTAATGCACAAGGAAGAGCTTATTTTACAGATTTTTCACCAAGTGTTTTCTTCTGAAAATTCTCTTCCTGGCTAGTACCTAGTGCACAGAGTGGGGAAAGGGAGCCGTGCATCGTGTTGAGCCGCACGTTGTGTCTCCCCAAACTGCTGTCTCGCCACGAGCAAAGCCTGCAAGCTGCTTTGCTGCTTGCATCACAAGATGAAGAATGAGGAAACAGGAACATGTGAATTAAATGGTTTCCAGTCATGGTCTAACCGAATGTGACCCAGGTTTAAAATTAGTGCAAACAATGACAATTATGAAAGTAGCTTTCATGGAAATGTTGCTGGTAGTTGTGCCTATGAAGCAGCAGTGCAGCTGCTAACAGCAGAAGCCAAATAGACCCCAGGGGATTTGTTGGTGTGGTGTTTTTTATGTTAGATCGTTGCATAATTTCCCTCGGATACAGGGATGCAGGCTAAAAGAGTAAGAAACCAGTTTAGAATTGCCATATTTGTGTCTCAGTGTCTCAACAACAGCAAAGCACCTGAGATTCAGGGGAAAGCGGGGCAGCAGCAGGACCCGCGGCGATGGCTCCCGCACGCGGGGTGGCCGTCCCGGTGCTGGTGCCGTTCCCGTGGCCTCCGGCTCTTGCAACGCTGGGGAAGGGGCCACGGGGTTGCTGTGGTCACTAGCCCAGCTGTCCTGCCTTTGTCACGAGTGGAAGCAGGGGCTACTGGAGACATTCCCTGTGCTGGGAAATACTGGGAAATCCCAGTGGATTTACCGCTAGAAACTCCTGCCCCACGCCAGCATGATCCCAGAGAGGCACCAGCATCCATGATCCCTGTCCACCCTTCCACCCCATCCCAAGCAGTATCCCAAGGTGGGAAAACACGGAAGTTGTCCTGGTTTGGATACCTGGCTGTGAGCCACGCGATGGCCAGGCTGGGCTGGGCAGGGGCCAGCCCCATGTCCCCAAGGCCAGGAGGGGAAAGAGCCACCAAGGACCCAACCTCGTGCGGCTGCAGGCGCTGCTAGTGGGCTGAGCGACCCAGGGTTAGAAGCGAGGCTTGTGCTCTCCTGCCCACAGCGGTGTTGAAACAGGGAGCTTAGCGACATCTCAGCAGCTACGGAGGGTTTCCAAGTGCTGCTGGTATCTCTGTGGGAAAGGTGGCGGTGGTGCAAAGCCAGGCAGGACATCCATGTGGGATGCTCGGGCTGGGATGTTATTGGGATGCAGTCGGCCCTCTGGTTTCGTGGATGCTTCCAGTTCAGCCCCGACCTTGCAGCTGACCGTCACTACCCACATCTGCTGCCCTGAAATCCTCCTGTTGGCCAACCGCCCTCCAGCTGAGCATCCCAGCATGGGAAAAGCCGGTTTCTGCCCCAAAACAGGCACTGCCCTGCTTGAAGCTGCTGCAGACACGGCCTGGGGTGGCCAGGGAGCATCTCTGCACCTGCCTCCTGTCCAAATGCTCAGGGTGGCTTGGACTGAGGACACCGGCCACCTCTGCTCCTCCCTGCCTCTGGAAAATGCTCCTGGAGCTTCCAAAGGGGCTGGGCCTGGAGATTCCAAGCAGGAAGCACTGGGTCAATACAAACCACAGCGGGTCCAAAATTGCACGCACGATTGCAGAGAGACTTCCCCTTTTCGAGGGGCTTTAAAAGCGGCGCGGAGTGATGCAAGTGCAGGGAGGAGACGTCCGGACGAGCGGCGCGGGCAGGGGCAGCCATGGGGGACACGTTCATCAGGCACATAGAGCTGCTGGGCTACGAGAAGAGGTTTTTCCCCAGCCAACATTATGTAAGTAGCCGGCGCCTGTCAGATGAGGAGAGAGGAGGCTGGCCCAGACGTTTTCCAACCAGCAAATTTCTTTATATATATGTGGTCAGAAGGCTCAGGACATCCCTTAAGTGGGTTGTCAGGGCTGATGGCTTGAGCTGGAGGCAGCTGGAGGGTGAAACGTCTGTTCCAGCCTGAACATGCAAGAGTTGGAGGCAGGACTGTGAATTTGGTTACCTCATGGGCTTGGAAAGGGCTTTGGGGACTCTTCCCTCCTTCATTCTCACTAGCACGAGCATTTCTGCCCCGTCCGTCCCTGCTGGAGCCTCCTGAGCTCCTGGCTCCCCTCTGTAGGTTTGCAAAAACAAGCAATTTCTCTTAAATTGAAACTTCCTAAAGGCCACGTTTACAGCAAGAAGTCTTCCAATTCTCCAGGGAAAACTAGTAGGATAATTATTTTAAACGGTGAAAAATGTGCATTTTCTTTTACAACTGTGAAAAGCAAAAATACATTGAATGTTCCACGTAAGAGGATGAAACCCCATGTTCTGAGAGCCTGGGTACCCACGCGGGGCTGCGGGTGGCTCCGGGCTCCTCCC